TCTATCTATCTATCTATCTATCTATCTATCTATCTATCTAATCTATCATCTATGTTGTTAAATGAGTCTTCCTCGCCACATTCGCTAAGTGAATCACTGCAGTTCTTAAATTAGTAATCCGGCTGTTAAGTGAATTCGGGTTTCCCCCGTTGACTTTGCTTGTCACAAGGTCGCAAAAGGGGATCATGCGACTTTGGCACATTGCAACCGTCTTAGATAGGAGCCCATTGCCAAGTGTCTCAATGTTGATCATGTGCCCATGGGGATGCTGCAATGGTCATAAGTGTGAAACATGACCGTAAGTCACTTTTTTTTGAGTGTTGCTGTAACTTCAAACGGTCACTAAACGAACGGTTGTAAGTTGAGGCTTAGGGTTAATTTTGCCTGGAGGGGGGAGAGGACAGGAGACAGACCCCTTTCTAAATAAACCATGGGTCTCCACCCAGATTGTTTTTACTTGTTCAAAAGACTTTATTGGAAATCCCAAGGACATAGAAGGCAGTGCGGGAAGTTGCATTGTGCTTTGCTGCCTGCCAGCTCTGTTTAATCTTTCTTTAAATTAAAAGACTCTTCAAAACAATTCATCTCTCTCTGGGGGTTGGTGGACACCACTTCCTATTCCTTTCGTTTCTGCAAAGGGAACTGGTGCAAACTATTGCAAATTTCAGCCAGCTGTGAAATAAGAACTCGAAAAGGCAGAACAATTTCCAAGAAACCCAGCAGTTCCTGTATCTTTTTTTTTTTTTAAATCCAGGAAGTCTTTGTTAGTAAGTAGTATGAACCGCTAAAAATGGAGGATGGTGAACTTCAAACATAGCTGCAAAGAAACAGCTGCCCCTTTACAATATACATGTGTACACACCCACACTCACCAACATTTTTTGGCAGAGATTTATCTCTGGGGAAACCCTTGAAGGGGCTGCTGATAACCCTGCAGTGAAGCCCAGCTTAGAATGGAATAACAGAGTTGGAAGGGACCTTAGAGGTCTTCCAGTCCAACCCCCTTCTTAGGCAGGAAACCCTACACCACTTCAGACAGATGGTTATCCAATCTCTTCTTAAAAACTGCCAGTGTTGGGGCATTCACAACCTCTGGAGGCAAGTTGTTCCACTGATTAATTGTTCTAACTGTCAGGAAATTTCTCCTTCATTCTAAGTTGCTTCTCTCCTTGATTAGTTTCCATCCATGGCTTCTTGTCCTGCATTCGGGTGCTTTGGAGCCAGGGTCGCCAACGTTTTGGACCTCAGGGACCACCAAACTCCTAATTTTAAATCCTGTGAGACCCTGGGAAAATCCCAAAAAACAATCTGCAGGAAAGTTCCCCACCCTGTTTTCCTAATGATCAATCATTCTTTATTTGGGATCGCAGGATACCGTCTCCAGCTCCGTTTTCAGGGGGAGAGAGAGAGAGAGAGAGACTTTTGGCTGCATGCAAGGAAAGCAGCAAAAGTCTTTATTTCTCTCCCCAAACTCCGCCAGAAATGAGTCTTTGCAGGCACAGCCTCTTGGAGCAGGAGGCCTTGCAGGGTCCCAAAGACTCATTTCTGGCGGAGTTTGGGGGAGAGAAAGAAAGACTTTTGCTGCTTTCCTTGCGTGCTGCCAAAAGCAGAAGAAGAAAGAAGCGGAAAGAAGCAGCCCGGTGGCCAGGCGAGGCACGTAGGGCGAGTGGAGCAAGTTCCCCCCCTCCACCCTTTCCCCCCTCCCCTCACTACCTCGTGTTGTTCACAATGCAAGCGACACAAGCCTTGTGTTCCTGTGGGCCATGTAGGTGGCGCAGCCTTGTGTTCCTGTGCAGCCTGGATTAATTGCTTTGAGGGGGGACGTTTCTCTGCGGACCACCAAAATTTTCTCGTGGACCACCAGTGGTCCCCGGCCCACCGGTTGGAGAGCCCTGCTTTGGAGAATAGCTTGTGGCAGCCCCTGAGATATTGGAAGACTGCTATTATGTCACCCCTTGTCCTTCTTTTCATTAGACTAGACATACCCAGTTCCTGCAACCATTCTTCATGTTTCGGCCTCCAGTCCCCTAATAATCACTGTTGCTCTTCTCCGCACTCTTTCTAGAGTCTCAACATCTTTTTCACATGGGTGTGACCAAAATTGGATGCAGTATGTCAAGCGTGGCCTTCCTAAGGCATTATAAAGTAGAACTAACACTACATGTGATCTTGATTCTATCCCTCTGTTAATGCAGCCTAGAACTGTGTTGGCTTTTTTGGCAGCTGCAACACACTGTCCTGGCTCCTATTTAAGTGGTTATTCACTAGGATTCCAAGATCCTTCTCACAGTTATTACAGTTGAGCCAGGTATCATCTATATTATACCTATGCATTGGTTTTTCTTTCCTTATTTCCCACGTGATCTTCATTTGGTATTTTAATTCATTAGCTGGCTGGGGAATTCTGTGAGTTGAAGTCCACACCTGTTAACGTTGCCAAGGTGAGAAAAATTGTCCTAGCTACACTATTGTCATTTCTAATCCCCACTCGGGAAGGCAGAGCGGTGCAATCAAATTACCGCAACTTTATTGGCTTGCTACGGCTTGGAAGGACTTTGCTGTCCTGCCCAAAGCGAATGTGGCAAGATGACCCATATCTACAATGGCCACATTTTCTTGGCAATACGGACAAACCTAAAGAGCAAGCAAATCTGAAAGAGGTTCACTAGAATTAAAAAAAAAAAAAAATACTTATAAGCAATTGGGTAGGGAAGTTTTAAGGCCTGTGGGACTTCGAGTCCCAGAATTCCTCCTGCAGTCATGTTAGCTCAGGAATTCTGTTGAAGTTGAAATCCGCGAGTCTTAAAGTTGCCAAGTTTGGGGACCCTTGTTCTAATGGAATTGGGGAACTACAACCCCGAAATGCCCAGCTAGTATGGATTTCTTGGTTGTCCACCTGAGGACAGTCCCAAAGCCTGGATTTTGCAAATGATTTCTTCTCTAGTATGTCTGACTCAAAGACAGACTTCGTTCCTGCGAGGGAACAAACGAAGAATGCTCAAGATTATCTAGTCTGAGAACTGAAGAAGCTTCTTGGATGAGAAGCGAAATGTCTTCAAGGAAAAACCAGGAAAATTCAGTTTGCCTTTTGAAAAAAAGCACCTTTGGCACAACCATGACCTGGAGGACTGAGAATCTCCATAGATATTCAGGTTACCTAGTGACGGAAAACGGTCCTCCGTGAAAATTCTTATTCAACTCTTTCTCTTCCTCCTAGGTGGGAGTAGTTTCTACTGATGAGTTGCTACAGAGAGCAAACAAGAGTTTTTTGGGAAAAAAAGAAAAGAAAAGAGGAGATTCACAGCTCCTGCAGACACAAATTCTCTACCATGTAGCCATTGAACAGGTTCAGGCTTGGATAGGAGTTCGAGTTTTCCCGGTCTGCCTTCCGATCCATGGGGGCTGCTGGGCTGATAAAATGGGGGTATTCAATGGTGGGATTCAATTTTTTTTACTACCGGTTCTGTGGGTGTGGTGGGCATGGCTTGGTGGGCTTGACAGGGGAAGGTTACTGCAAAATTCCCCTTCCCTCCCCACCCCACTAACCTGCTTTCCAGCTCCGTTCTCCTGTGCAGGGCAACCAAAGAAGACCCAGCCAATCAGCTGAGATTTGGGAGGCGGAGACTAGATGGGGGCAGGGCCAGTCAGAGGTGGGATTTGCCGGTTCTCCAAACTACTCAAAATTCCCGCTACTGGTTCTTCAGAACCAGTTAGAACCTGCTGAATTCACCACCTCTGGGAGCGTTCCTACCTTCTTCAACTCCTCGAGAGCAAGCAGGATAAAAAAGATGAAACAATAAATGCTAATGGGAATTTGTCAGATTTTGGCAAATCCAGCTAGTCTCGACTTACAACCCTTCGTTTAGCAACTGTCCAAAGTTACAAATGAAAAAAAAAAAAGCAGCTTATCCTTGCACTTAGTAGCATCCTCCTGGCCCCGAGATCAAAATTCAAGCGCTTGGCAACTGGCATGTATTTTTGCAACGGTTGCAAGTGTCATGCGACCACTGTTTGTGGCCTTCCCAGCCAGCTTCTGAGAAGCAGAGTCAATGGGGAAAGCTGGATTCGCTTAACATCTGCAGTGATTCGCTTAACAACCGTGGCCAAAAAAAAAAAAAAGATCACAAAATCAACTCACTTAAAAATTGCCTTGCTTAGCAACAAAACCCTGATCTGAACTGCAATTCTAAGTCCAGGATTCCCAGTCCTAATCAGCACAGAATCTTAGAATCAGGTACAGAAGAACAAAGGTGAATTTTCCTAGGCTGGAGGCGAAGGGCTAGTGACTTTTTTTGATTGATTGATTTACTCACCATTGTTCTTTGTAGAGATATTCCTGATTTTTCTGGCCCACTTAAGGTCGATAGGAGGTTAAAAGCTGTGCTCTTGTTAATCCCATCATCTTTCCTAGTATGGCTAGATTCAGCTGTTTGACTGCACAAGTCTAAAAGAGGGCTGTGAAAATATTGACAGACCCCTCACACATCCTGGACATAAACTGTTTCAACTCCTTCCCTCAAAATGATGCTATAGAGCCCTGCACACCTGAACAACTAGACACAAGGACAGTTTTTCCCTGGACACCATCACTCTGCTAAACAAATAATTCCTTCAACACTGTTCAACTGTTTACAAATTACTAACAGTAATTTACTAATTACTCCTGATCTTCTCATCACTTCTCATCTTCTCATCCCCTCCCACTTGTGTATGGCTGTAACTTTGTCGCTTGAATCCTTACAATTCATATTGACTGTTTCCTAGTATGATTCGATTGCTTATTGTACCCTGTGACTATCATTAAGCGTTGTACCTTATGATTCTTGACGAATGTATCTTTTCTTTTACGTATACTGAGAGTATTTACATCAAGACAAATTCCTTGTGTGTCCAACCACACTTGGCCAATAAAGAATTCTATTCTATTCTATTCTATTCTATTCTATTATTCTATTCTATTCTATTCTATTCTATTCTATTCTATTCTATTCTATTCTATTCTATTCTATTCTACTCTACTCTACTCTACCCTACCCTACCCTACCCTTAATCTGTGGTCCATGGAGCTTCTGTCATGCAGGTCCTGGTTGTCTCAAAGGTTCTTGAAGCCAGTTTGCTCCTCATCCAAGAAGCTTCTGGCCAGAAGTGATAAAGCTTCTTGGATGAGAAGTGAAATGCCTTCAAATAAAAACAAAGAAAGTTTTCGGAAAAGCACCTTTGGACATCTGTTAACCGTATTTTGCTTTAGCAAGCCAGATTCACAACCCTGTTGGTTGTCACGTCTAAAGAGGTTTAGGGCAAGCTGCAGAAATATTACATTACGGGATTTACAACTGACACCAATTATGTCATACTTGGCATAATGTGTTCTGCTTTGTCTGTTGTGCAAACTCAACACTTTTTCCAACGAACTATAGTCAAGCAAACTAGGGATTAGGAAAATGTAAAACTAGTATGGTTAAAGTTTCTATATTACTATTATTACCTTTATTGTCAGGAGTACAACATGTGTACAATGAGATTGGCGGAGCCTTCTGAACGTCTATCAATAAATTTTCCTGCAGTGTTTCTCACAGACTGTGGTCAAGGTTTCCCCTCTTTCATGGGATTGACTTAATCCATCATCCTGCTCCTCCAGAGCTCACCTGGATACTCTGCGGACTCCAGACGTTGCTGCTTCCCCTACACAACTACCTTAAGAAATACACCCCTTGGGGTGCTTTGATACAGTTAACCCTGATTAATTCAGGATCACAGAGGCATAAGCGTGCTGCTGCTAGAACGGCAGCTCAACGTGTCGTGGGAACGCCGTCACCGCTTTCTCTCGCGGGCCTGGGTATAACACGTAAGGGGCTCCGCTGGGGGAGGGGTGGGGGCGTGGCAGGTCTACCTTTCTTCTCCCCGGTTCCTTTCCAAGGAAGCGACCCCTTTTTGCAAATCGTTCCCGCTTTGGCAGAGACCCGCCTCGGGCATCGTCCGCGTGGGTCACGAGCTCCCCCTCTCGAAGCCCGGTTGTTTTGCAGAAGGAGTCGTGTGAACGCGACGCGACGCCCGGCCCAGGGCTCGCTTCTCCCTTTCGTTGCCAGGGATGAGCTCACCCATCCTCGGCCTGCCTTTCCCCACCCCACGCCTGAACTTTACAATGGGGGAGGGCGGTCCCCTTGCCGTCCCCCCCTCCCCGGACCTCTCCCCCCCCCCCCCCCCCAGACCCGGGCTCTTACCGCCTGGGCCAGCAGTAGCAGCCCTTTGCGGGAGCTCAGGAACGTCTTGAAGGCCAGCAACAGGCGAGTCTCCGCCGGCGCCTCGGCCGGATCGGGGTCTTCTCCTTCGCAGCGCTCCATGCTTTTGCAGCGCTTCGCTTGCAAGGGGATCGACTCCGCCGGCGACTTTGCAAGAAGATGCAACCCCGGGCGGCTCTTTTCTTTTCTTTTCTTTTCTTTTCTGGCTTTCCGGAGGAGGAAAACGGAAACGGGTCGGAAATCAGGCAAACCCGCACAATCTTTGCGCGCGGGTCCACCAATCCTGGTCGGGGCTGGGGGAGAGGCAGGCAAGCAGGCAGGGAGGGAGGCAGGCACCATCTCGGCTCCTCCTCCTCCTCCTCCTTCCTCCGGCCCCTGAATTGAGTGAATCCAACGCGGGGTCTGCCAGCCCCGAGAGATGGCAGCGTCCCTTGCGCGGCCAGCCGGCTCAGGATCGCGGCGCTAGAGGGGGAACGCGGGAGGCGCGATCCTCTCGCCGCGCGACTACCTGCTTTGCTGGACTGGTCGCGGTCGGTAGGGTGTGTGTGAAAGTCCCAGCGAGCGAGTCCCACGCACACAACCCTCTTCTGGCGAGTCCGCGCCTCGCGTTCGTGGGAAAAGTGATAATCGCTTCGGGGACGAGGTTCTTACGCGTACGAACGCAGAAAGGCAGGTTGGTTTGGCTAAATCGGGGGTGTCCAACCTGGACAACTCTTTAGACCTGTGGATTTTTGACTCCCAGAATTCCGAGAACGGGAAGTTGGCAAGTCTTAAACCCAAAGGTAGCAGCTTCTTGAATGAGAAGCGAAACGTTTTCAAGGAGAAAAAAAAATCCCCAAGAGTCCAGTTGCCGTTTGGAAAAACATCTTTGGGACAGCCATGACCTGGATCACTGAGCATCTCCATTGGCCCAAGTCTTAAAAGTTGGTGAGGTTGGCCATCTCTGCTCTAACTTGATCATCTAGAACAGGGGTCGCCAACCTTTTGGACCTCAGGGACCACCAAACTCATAATTTTAAACCCCGGGGACCACTAATATGAATTTTGACTGACGGTGGCTTGCTGACATCTGATCTAACCCCCCCCTCTCTCCCCCCCCCCTCCTCTCTCACACACACAAACACACAGAGGCTGGGTGGGATTCAAATTTCTTGACAATCGGTTCTGTGGGCGTGGCCTAATTTGTAGGTGTGGCTTGGTGGTCATATGACTGGCTGGGCATGGCTTGTATGTCAATATTATATTTATATAAATATTTAATTTTTTATAAAGAAGAGCAACTTTTACCCAAAATCAGGCCAATCGGCAGGCAGATTGAGTTGCTGACATTCACTTAGAGATCTGTGTTTCTGCCATCAGCTAGTTGAGTCGGCACTGCTTCAGTCCTAAAGAAGTCCTTAAAAGCAGAGCCGAAGATCTAAAGATTAGCTAGAAAGCAAGAAATCCAACAATTTCCTGCTTTCTAGCTAATTTAAATCTCCTGGCACAGAAGAACTGCTGATGGTCGGAAAAAGGAAAAATAACAACTTAGCAGGCAAGTTTCCCAGGTAAGGTGTGAATGGGCGGGGAGGGAGGGCCATGTGGGTGGCACAGCCTTGTGTTCCTGCGCAGCCTGGATTAATTGCTTTGGGGGGGGTGCTCTGGGGGTGACATTTCTCTGCAGACCACCAAAATTTTCTCACGGACCACCAGTGGGCCATGGTCCACCAGTTGGCGACCGCTGATCTAGAATAGGCGTCCTCAAACTTGACAGCTTTAAGACTTAAACTTGCCAAGTTTGAAGACCCTTGATCCAGAACAACAGAGTTGGAAGGCGGGGGTCTTCTACTCCAACCTCCTGCTCAAGCAGGAGCCCCCATACCATTTCGGACAAGTGGCTGTCCACTCTCTTCTTAAAAGCCTCCAGGTTGGAGCATCCAAAACTTGTTGTTCTGGATCAAGGGCCTTCAAACTTGGCAAGTTTAAGACTTGTGGACTTCAACTCCCAGATTTCCTGAGCAAACATGACTGGAGGAGGAATTCTGGGAGCTGAAATCCACAAGTCTTAAAGCAGTCAAAAGTCTGTTCCATTGATTGTTCTGTCAGGAAGTTTCTCCTTAGTTCTAGATGGCTTATCTCCTTGATTAGTTTCCGTCCACTGCCCTTGGTAGGGCTGTTGTGTTTAAAGCAGATTTGGCTCCCCCTTGATGGTTAATAGGGAGGCCGTCCCACCTTTGAACAGATGGACAAGTCCGAGAAAAGTCTGTAGGGTTTGTAGAACATGACCTTGAGAGGCGAGGATGGTTGATTGAATAAGGGGAACCAAGCAGGGATGACATTATAAGGAATGAAAAATCTTTAGTCTTTTTTGCAAGTTATGCAAAATAATCATGATTTAGAACATGTATGCAGACATAGTGTTGGCTTTATGTATAACTTAATTATGGGGGATAATTAATTTAGGCAAAAATCAATAGACTGAAGTGTCAAGAGAAAGACTTCAGAAGACTACTGAGGATCAGTTATGTCAAAAAACTGGACTACAATGCTTTTAATTAATTTTCGCCTGGTTAAGTAAGTGAGATAATTTCACTATCAATCCTACCCACATTTAACTAGGAATTTGGCGAGTTGTTATCCTATTGTATGTGGAAGACATAAGCAAGCTTTCTGGAGAATTTTTGGGAGAAGTAATTTCAGCAGGAATTTTTTTTTTAATAACCTGTATAGCTATAAAATGATCCATGAGTTTATAAACATGAATAACTTATACTCCTTTGCTTGTTTGATGTATAACATGGAAATATATTTAAGTCTACTTTAGAGGTTTTTATTGTTTGTGGCAAATGGAGCTGTAAGCTTGAAGGAATGTAGTTTGTCTTCACTGATGCCTGTTTAGACAAGCAAAAAAAAATGCCGAAAGCAAAAAGAATCAAGTTATAAGTCCTGGTTTTTGCTTCTACCATATGAAACTTTCAGAAAGTTGATTAAGATTCAGAAATTGACATTTTGCCATAAAATGTTCAGTCTTTCTTTTTCTGAAATATTACCACCATGGGCAATTTCTATTTTTTTTAACTATTCACCTGATATTTTGCAAGCCTTAAGTTTGCCTGTATTGAAAAAAAGATCTGCTTTCACATATTGTTCCACTTTTCCATGTACTGTATTTCCAAACATTTATGCTACCACGCCTTAAATCATTTTATGTATTAGTTAAAAACAAGTACAAGGACATAGTTTGGTGTTTTCATTTTAACAAATTCATAAAAGGCTTTAACTATTTTTTTTCCTTTTTTAAAAAATTTATCAAAAAATCAGAGTTGGGAAATATTGGCATGTAGAGGAAGAGAGAAGACTGGTTCTTTGGAAGAATTTACACAGATGAAGACTTGGTGGTTTGCATGAAACCTTTTAAGCCAACAATTCCTCATCTCTGGTTTATCTTAAGTCAGTATCAGAAACTATAGGATTATTTGGTTTATCCTGGTGCACAAAAAGCCAGGAATGTCAGCAAAAACCTTCAGATCTTCTCATTGTTGGTGTGGAATGAAAAGGAAAAGCAAGTCTTAAGGCTTGTTTGGCACACCTAACTGTTGAGCTTTGTGCCTGAATGTGACATTCCCCCTCCTGCAAAAAACCTTATTGCAATATTATTGCTAAGAATGGGGTACCTGCTTTTTATAGCGTAAGCTACCCAAAAATTGAGTTAGAATTAGGAACCAAAACAATAAATATTGGGTGGTTGTTTTGCCCTAAAGAAATTATTCAATGAACTTCATTAATTTTATTAGAGGTAGAAAAATGTAATGTTATTCCATGAGAATCAGTTTGGTTTAATGGTTAAGGTGCCAGAGGTTAGAAAGCAGGAGCCCGTGAGTTCTAGTCCCACCTTAGCCATGAAAGCCAACTGAGTGACCTTGGGCCAGTTCCTCTCAGTCCAACTCACCTCACAGGGTGGCTTTTTTAATATAAATTTTATTGAATAAACATTAAAAACAATTGAACACAGTGCGACTTTCTTGGCCATCATTTGGGCCATGCAAGCTATAGTATAGAGATACACATAACAGTTAATTTCCTTTTCCCCTTATGTTATTAGTATAATGCTAGCTGCATATTATTTCTATTTACATTTATCTACATTTATCTACAATTATATACATATTTACAACCGTCTTTTATACTCGTGCATTTGTATCATCTTATATTTGTCCATTATATTCTATTCTCTTTGGTTTACAAAACTTTAACTTTCTTTCCTGTAAAGCGTCAACTTTTTTTCTTTCTTTTTCCTTGACTCTAGCCATTGATACATTTTACTCCAGACTTCATAATACTCTGTCTCATCTTTGATTTCTAAAGTTCATCTGTCCATCTCTGCACAGACTAGTATTTTCTTTATTATTTCACTTTCTGTAGGGGTATCTTCATTCTTCCAGTTTTGGGCATACACCAATCTTGCAGCTGTTATTATATGTATCATTAAATATATTGTTCCATTACTGTATTTCTCATTAATAATTCCCAGTAGGAAAGTTTTTGGTCTGAACTCTATTTTCTGGTTAACCATCTCTTAATATCCAAGCCTTTATTTTTCACCAGTATTTTTTTTTTGCTTTTATACATTTCCACCACATATGATAATAGGTCCCTATCTCTATGTTACATTTCCAATGATGTGGTGATACCTCACAGGGTTGTTGTTGGGAAAATACAAGGCAAAAAGATACGTTGGATAGGCACTCTGGCTTGAGTTGTTTGTAAAACCAATAAAGGATGGGGATACAAATAAATAAAAATGTTGGTTACTGCTACATTTCTACTCTGCACTGTCAGACAATAGTCTAAAAGGTTTTTCTGTCCGACTTCCTCTTTTTGAGTGCTCTGCTAAGATTTGCCAAGTTGTGTGTCTCTGCATTTGTGCAACATGCTAACGAATGGCCAGAGGCTAAATGTTTAACTGGAAGGACTGGGGGTGGGTGGGTCACTGAGCCACCCTCATATTAGCCCAGCATATTGGGTGAACTCAGTATTCTGCTATTACAAATAGCATAGTCAATGGTGGTGGCTTCTTAAGATGGAATTTTGTTAAAAGATTTAATGCTTTTTAAAAAAAATTTGAGCAGGGAAAATGCACACAATAAATACTAGGAGCTCTAATATTATCACAAGTAAACCATTTTAATTAAAAACATTAAAATTTAATACAAACCAATTCAAGAAAATGTACCCATATAATCATTTCTAATGTTATATGGTAAAAAAAACAGCTATTTTATAAAACAGAAAGTATTTTTATCAACGGTTGTTTATGCTGTTAAATAAAGGAACTAATTTGACAAAGTACGCAGTAGTCAAATTCTAGATGCAGTTAAACTAAAAGCATAACATCGCCTTTCAAGAAAAGGATTTTAAATTACATGTAATTTGATAGGGTTAAAACATGTGCTTCATTTTGCCTTTTGAAATCAATAGGATTTAATAAAGCTTGACTGACTCAACTGGAATCTAAAGCTTTTAGGAAGTACAGAGAAAGTGTGACAAAGAGCCTACAGCAAAGCAGGCTTTTAAAATGGATTATAACAGCTTTCCCAATCTGATGACCTGCTGGTATTTTGTCCCAGTTGCACACAATAAAGTGCTTTATGCATTGGTTGTGGATGATGGGAACTCTAGTCCAACATATTTGTATAAAGTTATATTAGGAATGGCTGTTTTATATAATTTATTTGGCTCAGTGGGCCATTCTATTTTTGGATACCATCTCTTCCTACTATGACCTATTAAAAGTAACTTTTCTCAGGATTAAAGTAGCATCTATTATACAAAGAACGCAAAGCATCAAACAGAATACCTGTAAAAAAGGGGAAAAAAGGGTTCAGATTCCACACAAAAATGAAAAACACAGAATCATCATTAACATCTAAAGGCTACTATATAGATCAGAATTTGGTTTTGTGACTGTTCTAAATAGATGGTAAGAAATCTGGAAAAATGTTTGTACCTCATATTCTAGAAATTTGCTTCCTTTTATTGTGTTCTCAGCAAAGGGAAAGCAAGCACTGTAAAGCGGTATATAAGTCTAAGTGCTATTGCTATTTTGTTTTAAATCAGGAGAAAAACTTCCAAAGACTAGATAGCTTAGCAAGCAGAGAAAGTTATATTTAATAGGTTTCCTTGCTGCTTACTGAGTTCCATAAGTCTAAGTATTGGATAAATAAAATTGTAGACCTAGTTGAGAAATTAGGATCTTATGTTACAGGTGTAGGCCTTGATTTGCTACCATCATAGAGCCCAAATTTTCCGTTGCTAAGTAAGGCAGTTGTTAGGTTTTCCCCTATGTTACGACCTTTCTTGCCACAATTGCTAAGTCAACCAGTGCAGTTGTTAAGTTAGTGATACGGTTGCTATGTGAATCTGGCTTCCCCATGGACTCTGCTTGTCAGAAAGTCGCAAAAGGTGATCACATGACCCCTGGACACTGCACTGAGGTAAGTCGAGGACTACCTGTATTAGGACATGTAGGAAATGAACTTCCAGCTCAATATTGTCCTTATTTGCATTTTTTGGGATTCAGCACCTACATTAAGGACAAAAACTGTTCTCCAGATACCCTCCCCTAGATATCTGTGGGTACCTGCCCATAGATACTTTCCAGGATGGGCCCAGCTAGTTTTCACACTGTACTGCTAGTACAGATGTCTTACTTACACCTCCAATTAATGTTTCCTTAATGGTCTTTATGATTGTTGCACACAAGCCGACAATGAGGAGAAACAGTGCTGCCACCAAGGAATTGAAAGCATCCTGAAAAACAAAGCAAAGAATGCTGTCTCTACATCCAAGACATTTTTGCTGTCTGGCTCTTCTCTTGAGTCAATCAAGCGATTCCTAGCAAACCTCACAAGGTCTTGTCAGAAATAAAATGCAGATACAAGTGTCAACAATCGTACAATAGTTAAACTAATTAGTGCCTATTTACAATACAGTCCCTTAAACCAGCTGTTGGAGGAGTTAGCTGAAATGGGAATACTTAGATCCCAGGTTTGCATATCATCATCATCTTCTTTTAAAGACCCCATAATCCTTTGCGGGGTATAGTCTTGGGCAACTGAATGGAGCTGAGTGTTTACTGGCCGGATGCCCTTCCTGTTGCCAATGTGGAGTTATATTCAACAGATATATATTCTCATTGTGCCCAGAGAGAGAAATATCTTCCTCTACATAGGATCGAACTCACAGCCCCCTGATATCTGATAAAAATGTTTATATTCCATCAATATTCTTTTGCTTTGTAAAACAAAAGCAACATCCAAGAAAAGAGTGCTTATAAAAGGCTATAAATGTGAAGCTTTACCCGGTTGCTGGCTAAGCTTCAATATAACTGCTGAAAAGAATGGTTTTTGTAATGGGCAGAAGTTAAAGCTCCATGGAAAAATGATTTTGAGTCATCTTGAGATGATTAAAAAAGTGAAGGATGAGTAACCAAATGCTTAATGCAGTAACACCCAGTTACATTTTATAAATAATGCCTCAAACAGAAGATAAGCAGTGTTTTAAGTCTAAAATGCTTTTCACTGAACAAAATCTGTATCATTGTAGCTAATAAAAAATGATAGCCAATATATTTAGAAGTATATTTAAAGCATCTTAAATATAATATCACATGTGGTGACAGTAGATGTATTTTGAAGAATAACCAGGTTTTAGGCATTGCCCTAAAATAAATCATTCATGGAATTTAAGCTCCTGTTTTCCATATCGAGTCTGTTCACATTTTTCAATACAGTACTGCTTTATTCTGTGTTTTTACTTTTACTTCCGACTTCTTTTACTTCTTACTAAGTACTTCTTACTTAGAAAAGAAAATATGTTGGTTTGTAAAGACAGAAGAATTATAATCTGAAATGGTCTGGTGGATTAATGCTTTTCATTCAGTGAAACTACTCAGGTAAATATAATCCTAAGAATTATCAACATTAGGTACACAATTCATAAGCAGATCTAACACCAGTAATTTTACAATGTTAAATGAAGCATACTCATTAGAAGTATGTTATGAATGAATGAATAAATAAATAAAAGAATACATATATTCCTACATCCAGAGATCAAGCTATACAAAACAGTGGAAGTCTTCCTATAATTAGCTTGTTTTTCCAGGAATATGACTGGATACATTAAGTACTAATCTGACATCTGTTTTTGCATTAGCTACAGAATGTGTACACAAAGAAGTGGTTTGTGAAAAAATTATACTTACAGCCAAAGGCCAAAACATGAATTTTAGCTGTGCATCCAACTTCAGTAGATAGAGTAAATAGAATAAGAAGGTAATGACAAGTTCCATGATCACAAGGGCTAGGAAGGCTTCATGAGATCTTTTAACAGCAAAAGTGATGGTTGCCATAAAAGCTAGAAGCTGCAAGGAAGAAATAAGTAATTTACAAGACACCCTGCAAAGACACCAGACTGCTAAATTTTCTATTTGACATATTAAAATAATAAAACACAAAGCTAAGGAATTTCACAAAAAGAAATGCTATATGTTTCTTTGGAATTCTAGCTAAAACAGACCAAGGATGTGACAAGGACAGAATGTCTTGCACACAAGTTTCCATATGAAACACACTTAAATGGTAGCAGCAACTTTAACCCAAGAGTTTGGCGCTCCACACTTTCATTTCGTTGATCAAAACAAGCAGCCAAAACAAGGCACAACTTCCTGAAACAGAAGTTAAGTTTTCTGAGAGGTATTATAGTGGCTCAGTTTGCATTCCATTCTTTATTTGGTTATTGAATTAATTCACTTTCTTGTTTGCCTGATCAGTGAATCATAAAGGATAAGCTGGATATACACAGATACACACAAACAAGTCAAGGTTAGAATTTAAAATGTGAAAAATGCAACTGTTAAATCTTTAAGGGGTGTGGGGAGAGAGAAAGAGAGAGACATTAAAGAACTGAAAAAGAACGAAGTTACAGCATGAAAAAGGAAAAAATTTGGGCTTTGAGAATGTAAGATGCGCACCTGGAAAGAATCATCATTTCACATCACAGTAGGAACTTCAGAAAATACTTGGAAACAACTTATCCTTTATCCTGATGTGTTACCCATAGTCTTTTCTTCTTCTTCCTGGGCCTAAGGAAGATGGCTGCTGTAGTCCAAAGAACCTAGAAGATTTCTGGTTGGGGAGGGTAGATTTAAAATGGCCCTGGACAACCACTGTATGGATCAAGGGAGATGACAAGTAGAGATGATCAAGGGAGATGACAAACCCTAACAACATGGCTTGTTGGACCCTGGTTAGTTTCTTTCTCGGATAGAGCTGGTGTGTGAACCCAGAGATTAGGAATGAATATGAATGGTTCATTGCCAATATGAATATGAATGGTTCATTGCCCTGAAAGTCAGACACTGAATTTTAAAAAATGTCTTACAATGAATAAATGGAGCAATATGTTTCTGTAAAGTCTAGATGTATGAATATGTTAAGTGAATGAGCTCATTCTATATTTCATTTATTTAGTCAATTTATACGGCCATTCATGTCACTAAATGTGACTCTAGGTAGCGTAAAACCTAACATATTAATATTGTATGAAACCTTTTTACTTTTATTGTATGAAACCTTTTTACTTTTCCCTTCAGTTTTACATCATTATTAGGTTAACCGCTGTTCTGTTTATTACTTTTTATATTTTATTTCGTAACAAGATACACAAAAGCCAAAAACAACAAAGGGAAACAAAGGCAAATGCTTTTTCAAAAACCAGTAAGATTACGCATTTCCTGAGCCCACTGTTTAACACTGGGAATAGCTGCATTTTGTTTGTATTATTTCACACACCCGCATATTTTTCACAATTCAATTCAGCTACTATGTTCCAGATGTTATGCAAAGATAGACATTGCCCTGATGTGACTCTAAAAGTTATTTGGGAGGGATTTAATTTATAGGTTATACAGAAGGAGGAGAAGGTGGAAGAAAAAAAAGAAGAGAAGGAGAAAAAGGAGAAGGAGGAACAGAGAAAAGGAGAAAGGAGGAGAAAAAAGATCAGGAAGAGGGGAAAGGAGAGAAGGAGGCAGGAGAAGAAAGGAGACAGAGGAGAGGAAGGGGAAAAGGAGAAAGAAGTCAGATGGCAAAGGAGACAGGAGGAGAAAGAAGAAAGGAAATGAAGAGGAAAAGAAAAAATGAGATGAAGAAAGGAAGAGATAAGAGGAAGAAAAGAAGGATGAGAAAAAGGGAAGAGGAGCTGAGGAGGAGAAAGGGAAAGGAGGAGGCAGGAGAGAAGAAAGGAAAGAGAAGGAAAAAGGGGGAAAGGGGGAAGAGGAACTGAGGGAAAATGAGAAAAGGGGAGAGAGAAAGGAGAGGAAAGGAGGAGAAAGAAGGATGGAGGAGAAAAGGGGGAAAGGAGCTGAGAGGGAGAAAGA